CACACACACACACACACACACACACACACACACACACACACACACACACACACACACACAGAGGACTAGATAGTAGGCAGAACTCTCTCTCTCTCTCTTTCTCTCTGCTGGACTGTCTAGTGTCCACGCGCACTCTCTCTCTCTGTCTCCCCCCGTAGATACTAGAGAGTACAGTAGATAGTACCGAATGTGAACAGCTTGGTGGTTAAAAAGAGACGCCACTATCAAGTTTATCTTGTCCCTACTTTGACTTCGCTATCAAGTACTTCGCCATGGATTAAGAATTCTGACCATAGCAGGATGTCTGGCGCGAACCGAGAAATTTTCGTCGTACGGCTTTTGGTCTGTTGATTTATCTTTTTTTGGCGCGACTGAGACGACCGAACAATGACACTGACAAACTTTGCAATGGTCTAAATGGTGCTGTGCATGCGCCCTCTAAGAAAGGAAGAACGTGGCCATGATTGGGACTCGGTTCATGCTTTCCAAACATGAACTTGGCATGATTGGGTCCTGGGTCCAAATGTAGCGGACAATGGCTATGAGGACTGTACACGGCCTTCATAGCTCGAAAACTATTCACCGCAGGATGCGTCACTTGATCAGTCCGGGCGTCGGATTTCTGTTTGGCTCTGTAGATTATGGGCCAGATCCCACTGGCAAAGACGATTGGGAGAAATGTCTGAATCTGGACGTGTTTGTGGACAGGTGCGGAAAATTGTGATTGATCACCTTTTCTGCACCTCTGCGTGGAGGACATCCAGATTCAGACATTTCTTCCAATCCACTTTGCCAGTGGGATCTGGCCCTATGGCCTTGGAATGTTATGTGCGGACTGCAAGTGGGCCCTGAGCAGTATCTTCCGTCGCTTCCGACTCCAATGTCTATTTTTGGAAACAAGTGCGGCCGTGTCAGTTTTTGAGTTTCAAATGCCAAGAACCTCGTGTGGACAGGTCTGTCACCGTGCGAGTTTGGAATGGGCAAGAGTTCCCGCCTGCAGAAAACCTAACCCACCTGTTTCTCTTTGAATTCTTTTGTTGTTGTTGTTGTCTTATTTCTCTCACTACCTACCTGCCTGTGCTCCTAAGCCTATACAATGACCGCCTGCAAGCACAGGGGCCAAGTCCCACTTACCCGAATTCTCTACTTCCGACCGTAGATTCGGAAGATCAATGGCCAGAAATTAAGAATCAGCGTAAGTGGGACTTGGCCCCAGGCCCCCAGCTACCTCTCATAATAAAGGGAATGCCTGTTTCGAGCATCGTGCTGTGTTTTTATTGCTTTTTTGAACTTGGGTGTGACTGGCCCACAGACACCTTTTTTTTTTTTTAATTGTAAAAGGCTAAAAGCTATATATTGGCCGACGCGGCATGTTTTGAAATCCTGAAGGCAAAAAAAACTCGTGCTGGCAAAGAAACCATGCGTCAAATTGAAATGTCCAATGTGGGTCCCATTTGGGTCCAATTTGGGTCCAAAAGTACCCGTTGGGCATTTTCTTTTTTTTTGGTTTTCCCCCCAGCCGACCCCTGTAAATATGACACCCCGTCTGACACCATTGCTGTTGGTTCTTAGTTGCCTTCTCAAACTGGGGGCCGTTTCCTTTCCCTATGTGTTTCTTTTTCCCCCATTGGAAACCTAAAGGTGACATGAATATACGTACCTCTTCTTCTTTTTTCCCCCCATTGGAGAGAGAGAGAGAGCGGACAGAGAGAG